TTGTTCAGTTAAGATTAATCAGGTTATGAAGGATGGACTATCACTAATCCACTTGGTGAACTTAGATTGAGAATTAAGTACTCCAACAGAAATCAGACATGTCAATAAGTTTGATAAGTTGAGGTGGAAGGTGATGTTTATGTGAAGAATAAAAATACTTTGATCCAACACACAGTTTGCAAGTTGTATTTCCAAAACCTCTACAATCCTTCTAATTGCATATCTAAATTTTTTCATTATCCTTGTATATTATGTCTGGTATTTTCTCTACTCTAATACAAAGTGTTGCAAAATCAGCACTGTAAGGTAACATGAAAAGTTGACATCACATGCATATCGTGTTAAATGACACTCTATACCAGACTGGTGCATGCACACTTTAACCACCTCCTGTGCACATAGGTTTAATGGAAGGTGACTAGATTATATTTCACCTAATCAGTTGTCACAGTATATAAGTAAAATTTTATTGGGTTTAAAACAAAATGAGAACTGTTTTTTCTGGGTATCTTAATCAATTTTTTTTTAAATTGTGATTTAAGTTAATGGTGCAACAATTTGATATAAACAGCTTTACTATGATATTTTAACTTGAGAAAATCAAGTTTGTTTTCTGTTTACAGATTCTACTCTGAATAATTTTTAAAAGTATCACAAAAATACTCAAGAGAAAGACACAAACATATATCAAAATTCAAAAATACAGTAACAAAGCAATTTCAACTAATTCCCAGAAATACTTAACATTAAAAAATAAAGAAAATTTATAGGATAGGATATTGGAAAACTATGACCCTCAATCTACAATAAATTAGGTTTATAATACAGTGTAATTATCACTTAAAAAGTGTCTGATACTTGAATAAAAAATACTTGGAAGTTTCATTGTTTCTGCACCTTCAAAATAGCTCTCTGAACGGTAAATACCTCATATATATTATTTCAACTTAAACCAGTGCAATAAGCAAAATAAGCAACAACAGGAAAATATGATTAAAAAAAAGCAATTACCATTGATATTATCGATGCACTATGGCCTTCTTCAGTTAAGAAACACTCAGCTAGAGACACAGGAAGCAGAGTTAGTGGAAGTTTATAGAGACAGTGAACTTGAGTCTGGTGTCATTACTGATTAATATTTTAGTAGGAGTGTTTAAATACCTCAATAAAACATTTTGAAATGCTGATAATCACTTACATTCTCCAGATGACAGCATCAAATTTAACTATGAATAATGGTAACTAATATGTAGACTCTAGAACCATTAAACCACTCATTCTCCCCAGACATAATAATAAGTTGTGGAAATGGCTTCTGATTCCTGGATTATAATATTTTTTCTTCTTACAGTGTGTTTATCTATATAGAGAAGTTATACTTAGGCACATTTACTTTTCCTTATGTTAAACTTAAATAGTGTTTTATGCATAGAGTTCAATGCTGCCACTTAAATAAATGTAATTGCAATGAAAATCTTACATTTTAACATTCAAGATTGCTCTTACATTTAAAACTATCTACCTTGGTTCAGAGATTTTTGCTTTATTTGACATTAATAAACTAGAACATATACCACTTCTTTTAAAGTTTAAAATACAAATACTAAATATGTTCAATTCAGCTGTTAAACAAATTGTAGTGTATTACTCATGACAAGTTTTTAATATTGGTACACATGATGACAGATATAGCTTATTTAAAAACAATCTTCGTTTCACTTATTGAAATGCAAATAATTTGGTGTCTAAAATAAATTTTAATTTATTCATGGTGAAAAGAAGGAATTTCTATAGATTTTTTATCCAAGCTTTTAATATTTGATATGATATTTCAGATGTAGAAAGCAGTTTAAGGTAACGTCTTTTATGAAAAAAAGGAGAGAAATGAGTAATTTTTTTATTACACCAGATGTTTGTAAGCTGTCTTCTTAACCTAAACTAGACACTATAAACTTTCACATAATTAGTACTACATCACCAAGAAATGATGCTTTACTTGATTAAATACACATTTCACTGAATCAAAATGAAGCAGTAGACTTTACATGATTAGTACTAATGAAACATTTTACATGCTTACTAAAAATTTAAAATTAAATAATAAATCTCAGATGGTTAGTACAGAATTAGAATGTAGATACATTTATGCAAGAGTACTAAATAATTAAACTTCAGAAATGGAAACTGAAACATAATACTTGTGCTAGGTGCTAACTATTCCCAAGATATAAATTTCTGTTAGATTCAGATATAAAAAAAAACAATCTGATAGCCTGCTTGCAACAAGTAGCACAGATACAAAAACACACACTTACCTCCACCCTGCTGACTACATTTACTTACCTCTGAATGAGAAAGTTAGTATTTATCAAGTTTAAAGTAAAAAGTTCATATTTATATTTCACAAGAAAGGAATATTGTGAATAATCTGTCTCACTTAACAGTGGAACTTAACTTGGAACATTCAAGTGACCAATCAAAGAACTTCAAAGTCTCTTAGCAGTCGCAGCTATTTTTTTATTTTTTTTTATATATTCAGTCCATCTTTCCAGTACTACCTATAAAATAAAATACTGATATACCAGTATCTAGTCAAATAATATAATGTGCCATACCCAGCTCAGAAGAAAATTGATAATAGATAATAAAGTCCCCATAAAGTTACAATGTGTATATTTAATTTGTGGAATAAACCTTGTCTATAATTTGTAAATGATATTAAAACATATTGTTTCTGATTGAAGTTTTTAACAATTTTAGCAACTGTATTCAGTGCTAAGTTATTCTAGTAGTTGATTAAATCAAACTAGCAGTTAAATCATCAAAGTGCTACTAATTGAATTAAGTGGAAAATTTCTTCATTTGTATTAAGAGCATCATCTTGTAATGTTAAACTCTTTCAGGTTATGTTTTTGTTTTTATAACTGCACACACTTAGGAATGTTAATTAAACATGCTTATCCAGGTTTGTTACAGATTCAGCATTACAAAACTATCAAATTAGTCAAAATGAAACATCATGGTATAAATGTTTACATCTTCAATTTACTTTATATCCAGTGAAAAGTCTGTTAGAATGTACTTGCAACTTTTAAATTTCTTAAGTCTAAAATACTGTTTTAGGAATACCAAAATTTGAAATGAAGTCTACTGTCAGAAGTTTTAACTTAATGCTTATGATAGTTAAAAATATCTGTTACTATGCAGTGCCAGCAGGTTGACACATCTAATTTAAAATACTGGTACATGATTTTAACTGTTCTACTGCATCAGACTGACTTGTATGGACCCATTAGTTTTATAAACCCATTTTATCTCAAATATTTATGCACCAAATTGATTGTGGGTTCATAACTCTGTTGATTCATAACTCTTAATAATATAAGAGTCACGCAAAAAATGTAAAAATATACCTCCAGTACTGCAATTATCACCACTAACCACTACTGGGGTCTCCTACATATTTCAAGTAACAAATGAGAGATTTCAGCCAATTTTGGAGTAAGTTCTTTACACTGAACATATCAAGTAAATCAAAAAATGGAAGCTCAATTGTTAATGAACAGTACAGAAGCAAGTCTGTAATTTTAGAGTTAAAGTATATATGTAACATCATACAGAATTATTTCTAAAGCATGCTGTGTTTCAGAAAATCACTGCATCTTGTATATACACTGAGTGGTCACAAGTAAATAGACACCTAATTTTTCGTCATTTAACTGATTTATGCTAACTAATTTGTGTTCACAGAGCACTATATAAATGAAAATGGTCTGTACACTAATTATCTTGTGCTACAACATGCCTAGAACTCAAGGTTCTCTCGAATTGTCAGATTTTGTTAGAGGGAGGATAGTTGGTCAAGCAGATGGTGGAATAAGTCAGTGGCAAATTTCACAAAATTTGGGAATCCCGCTTTCGACAGTCAACAGAAATATCGTGCAGATCAGGAAACATGGCAAGGAAACAACTGAGCAGCGTCCGGCTCGTCCTGGTCCATCAGAGAGGACAAAAAGGGCTGTCAAGAGGAGCATCAAAATGGATCCCAGATTAACAACTGCAGAAGTGGCCAAAGTTGGTGGGATGAGCCCGAAATCTGTTCAACGGATTCTCTACAGACTGGGTTATCGTTGCAGAGCAGCTAAACAGAAGCCCATATTAAGACCTGCCAACATAGTCAGACAAAAGAAGTGGGCAAGTGATATGATGATCAAGCCTCTGGACTTTTGGAAGACCATACTGTTCTTAGACGAATCAAGATTCTCTCAATTTTTGGACAGTGGGAGGATATGGGTCTACAGAATGCCTCACCAAGAGTTTGGGCTCAACAGATTTCAGCCAACTGTGAAGCATGGTGGTTTCAGCGTGATGGTTTTGGGAGATGTTTGGGTTGGTGGGAGATCGACCTTAGTTGAATGCGTTGGCAACATAAATTTTGCGAAATACGTCGAAATATTGGAGGAAGGACTCTTGCCACTTTATTCCTCGGGTTTCGTGGACAAGAACACAACATTGTTCCTGGAAGATGGAGCACTGTGTCACACTAGAAACACTCAAAAGTGGCAGGAAGAAAATGGTATCCAGAAGTTGTCCTGGCTGAGCCAATCTCCTGACATGTACCCCATCAAAAACGTCTGGGCCATACTCGACCGGCAAGTCAAGAAACAACCAAAAAAACCAACTTCGATCTACTCCAAGTTTTGAAGAAAGAGTGGGCGAAAATCCCACAATCTAAAATTGACGAGATGATTCTCACGATGCCCCAAAGGATCAACGAACTCCACGAAGCGAAAGGAAGATCTACTAGATATTAATTAAATTATAAATATATCAATTTATGTGAATATGACTGAAAAATTCCATTTTTTCTGAAATGGTGGTGTCTATTTACTTGTGACCACGCTGTGTAGACATACATACACCATAATATATGCTGATTAAATTGGTCTTAGCTTTAGATACACCCATGCAGGTAAAAGTTCAGAAGTATAAGAACTCACCTGTGAACTTTTCCAAGTTGTAAACTACAACAGAAATAAAGTCACTAAACTTGCAACAGTTTGCAAAAATAAAATGTGAATAAGCATGTTTTTCCTGTCACATAAAACACTTGACTGTCTTACACAGAAAAAAGATAAACATGCAACTGTTGTTGTTTAGTGCAAAGATACACAGTGGGTCATGTGCACTTTGTTTACCATGGGAAAAATTAGTAACTGAAAATATTTTAAGTTTTCCTCCTTTAAACATTGAGCACAAAAAAGATTATCTAAACTGTTCATAAAACAAAACATCCAATTTTTTATGAAAAAAATAAATTTACTGTAAAGACATCACTGACTGTAACAAAAACAGAACACTTTCTTCACTCAAAGTTGGACAAGAGAGATTACAAGATAAATTTTTCAATTATTTTATTTCTGTAATAACAATTTTTTTTTAGCTTTATTGATTAAAAATTCCATGTTGTACCAAGAACCTAATGCTGCTCAAATATAGAACAAACCCTGCCAACTGGCAAATACTTCAAAATGACATAGTTCGTATATTTTATTTTTCCTATATCTTTTTATCAACAAATTATATCAAATTAATCTCTGGAACTTCAGTTTTTCTTACCCTCATGCTGGTATAACGTTTATCAGATCTATCCAATGTTCCTCTGGAGTAAGACCTCATAAAACTATGACCTAATGATCCTGTTCGACTGGCTGAAGAATGTCCCACATTCCTCTTCCGACTCTTCTGAGACTGAAAGACTGCTTCTGCTTCTAATGACATTCTGAAGTGTATAAAGCCGTTTTAGTTATTGTTTGTATACACACCATCAAGTTGTGTCACCTAAGTACAAACTTCAAGAATTATATCACAATAGAATACATTACATCTGACAATAATGCAGAAGGATTGCACTGTATATCTTAATCAGACAATAGAGACTAAGTCTCAATATAAGGTACATACTACAATGAACAATCTAGTATTGTCACACTGTATATCTTAATCAGACAACAGAAACTAAGTCTCAATATAAGGTACATACTACAATGAACAATCTAGTGTTGTCACACTGTATATCTTAATCAGACAATAGAAACTAAGTCTCAATATAAGGTACATACTACAATGAACAATCTAGTATTGTCACACTGTATATCTTAATCAGACAATAGAAACTAAGTCTCAATATAAGGTACATACTACAATGAACAATCTAGTATTGTCACACTGTATATCTTAATCACACAATAGAAACTAAGTCTCAATATAAGGTACATACTACAGTGAACAGTCTAGTATTGTCCCACTGTATATCTTAATCACACAACAGAAACTAAGTCTCAATATAAGGTACATACTACAATGAACAATCTAGTATTGTCCCACTGTATATCTTAATCACACAACAGAAACTAAGTCTCAATGTAAGGTAAATACTACAATGAACAATCTAGTATTGTCCCACTGTATATCTTAATCAGACAATAGAAACTAAGTCTCAATGTAAGGTACATACTACAATGAACAATCTAGTATTGTCACACTGTATAGCTTAATCAGACTGGAAGTTATCTAATAATGTAACATATTACAACTGACAACAATACAGTTAGACAATAATGTGTAGGACCATCAGAATAACAATAAAATTCTCATGCAACATATTGTTGTAATATTGTTCTTTCATCAGCAGGTTCTTTTAAATTATCTGGAGAAAATAATTCAAAGTCCAGTCCATTTAAATAATATCAAATTGATATTTGATGATTCATTCTATGAGTTAGAAACAACTCTCTCAATTTCATATTTATAATCTACCTGTGAATTTATTGGAAAACTTGACATCAGGTTTTAGAACATTTTGGAAGTTCTAGGCTTATCTTATTAAATTTTGTTATCTTAATATCATCACTATGACTCAATTGCTACTCCCCCTAGCTAAAATCAAAATTACAGCATTAGAAATAAAGTTTATAATACTGCCCCCTTCTTGAATTGTAAAGTCCTTTGAACAAACCTAATACAAAAAAAAAAAAACACTAAAGGGTCCAATCACCAATTCTTTTTAGTGGTTTTCTCTTCTGAGTCCCAAGGTATACAGATGGGATGACATCTTGTCCCCTGTTGTCACTGGACATCCTGTCACCAGGGGGATTTAACCTGAGTAGATAGTCAAGTAAATCCAATGGTGGCTACATACTTGGTGATCCTCTAGAAGCAATCTTGAAAGGAACTCTGGGCTCCTCAGCAAGTTGGGTTTCCACTGACAAGGTCTTCTCTGGAGTTACCCAGTTGATTGTTCTCTCACTGATATATTTCGAAAGATGATAATGATGAATGACCTTTAAGTTGGATCACCTATCCCTCTGGATTTTGTAAACCACATCATTGATTCTTTTCAGCACAGCATGAGCCCTCCCAGCACCTGCTTAACTTTAGACTTCGCCATTTCTTGTGGCAGGGATTGTACAACCAGATTGTCACCTCGACAGAATCTAGTTTTATCAGTATTAGCATCATAGCCACTTTTCATTTTTCACTAGTTGATTTAAGTCTTTTTTTGGTAAAGTAATGTATGGCATTGATTGTATTCCTTAATTTCTTTACATAAAACTGTTCTGAGTGACAATTCTCTGGACAAGAGTACAGAAGATCTATAGATCCATTGCACATTAACTTTTCTCCTGAACATCAATAGTGATAATAGCATGATGCCAATAGCTACATGTATTACTGTACAACAACCTATCAGTAACAGTAGAAGATCTTGATACAGCATTTTCTCAACCACATACATGGTTAATTGACTGAGAAATGTGCAGCTGTCTCTCTCTCCACCATGCTGTCATAAGATGGATGAAGAGCTGTTATCCTGGTGTTTTTAATCCAAAGGCTCTGACACATTCCCATGAACTTTCATTTCTGATCTGAGTAAAGTTTCATGGGCATACCAAATTTTGAAACAAGTTCATTGATGAGTTTCCTTGCTAGTCTCTGCTTCCTAGTTAGGTACAATTTATGCTTCACGCCATTTGGTGAAATGGAATCTGGACATTTTGTTATGAACATTTAGGTACTGGACATTTCGTTACTGCCACATTATAACTATGACACTTGTGACGGGCGCATTCTTGTTACATCATTTTTGTGACATAACAATTTTTGCTACGAATACTGTTTATGTGACAGGTAATTTTTTTAAATATAAAATTGATTGGGGACAATGATAAAAAAACAACAAAAAACACATTTATTGTAATATAACATACTATGATTTGAATTCAAAATACCTTTAATAACTTGAACATTTGCAAACATACGACTCATTTTTGCACAATAACTTGTTTAGTCAGATTTTAAATGTATACTAAGGTACGTACTTGACAACCAAAAAGAAATACTAGTAATTTCTATTGGAAAGGAAACATTTTGCTTCTTAGAATTTCAAAGACAGTCATTGGTGAAAAGCGTTTTGAAGGTTTCAATTTTAATAATCAAAACTTCCTCTTGCTGAATGACCCACAGTCCAAAGATATTTCAGGTATCTTCCCTCCCATGCATCACTGTTTCCCTCTCAGTGAGAGAGGGGTAAGGTGGTATCTTACGGTATTTGAATTAGATAGTGGTGAATCTAGTAACAAGATTCATCAATAACAAATGATACTTGTAAAAAATCCTTTCTTAATGGTAACTTGGATGCTGTAATGAAATATTTTCATAACAAAAAGTCAATGTCACAAACTGTACATAATGAAATATCCCAGACTCACAACCATAATGTGTCTATTTCTGCAGTTACTCTGTGGCAAAGGACCAAGAATATCAACAGCAGCTTTCTCCAGTGATGCCCCAACAAATTACTAATGTAGCTGCACATACTGTTTCTTTTGTGGATCATTTTGCTCACAGCAAAATTCACATTTTATTGCATCTATTTTCTCCAGCACCAAACCCATTAAGAGCATTTTCTTACACACTCCAGTGTTTTCTTAACACTTAAGTATCCAGACTTTGGAAAGTTGTGGAGACTGTAGAAGTACCAACTGTAGTCACTGTTTCTGTCCACTGGTATCTTCCCATTTTCAACATAATGTACCCTCTTGTAAGCGTAAGGAATTTCACAATGCCCAATACATCTTTGATTGCCATAATGCTCTTTCTGCACTATTCTTGAGCCACCAACTAATTGGTTTCAAACTTGTTTTTTTTTGCACGAGCAGCTTGCACTTGATTGTTAGACCATATCAGTTCCTCATCATCACTTCTTGAATTACATTTTGCTGTACTTTAGGTTGGTAGTCTTTTCTCTCCTGTGCTTCTCTCTTTTCATGGTGCTTACACTCTTCATTAACACATGGTCTCTGGGATGATGCCTCAGCATTTCCATGGTTCCATCCAGGGTAATACATCATGTCAACGTTGTACTCTTTAAGTTTCTTGAGCCATCTCCCTATTTTAACTTCTGGATTATAAAAATTCCCCAACCACTTCAATGCTACATGATTTGTCCAACACGTGAACTTTAGTCCATAGAGATAATGATGGAAATAACTAAGGGCTCAAACAAAACTTAATTCAATGCTTTGCTGTAGTAAGCAACCATGTTCTCTATCATGTTTTACTTGTGACAAAACTGCTCCCACTGCAAGATCACTGGCATCTGTATCTAAAGTAGTGGATCTTTCATAGTTGGATATGCAATACAGAAGTAATGGTCACTTTCTTCTTCAGTCTGTTGAATGTTTGTATACAACCAGCAGTCCAACAGAACTTATTTGGCTTTTTAAATAATTTGCATAAAAAATGAGCTATATCAGAAAAAAATTTACAAAACAATGATAGTAAGAGCACAGTCCAAGAAATCCTATTATCTCAAGCATGTTTTTTGGTGTTATCCAATTTTGGACTGAATCATTTTTCAATGAATCTGTAGACACTCCCTTCTCTGCTGTGTCCCAGGAAACTCAACTGTTGACAGAATAATTCACCTTTTTGGAATTCAGCCTAAGGTTCTCATTCTTCAATCAATCCAATATATTCTTTAGGCCTTCATAAACATGATCAAAGGTCTTCCCACATGTTATTATGTCATCCAAGTGTTTGAGTAAGATGTTCCAGGATAGTTTAGACACAGTACACTTCATTAATTGTTGGAATGTAGCAGCAGCATTATATAATTCAAATGGTAACGTGACAAATTGCCACAATCCACATCCTACGGTAAAGGTTGCTTCTCCTCAACTGGTTTTGATGATTTGCACTTTCCAATATTCATTCTTAAGATCCAATTTCAGAAACCATTTCAATCCAGATATTGTACCAAAAGTAGATTCAGTAGAAATCCTTCTTTCTAGCTTCATTCACCTTTTGATAGTTCAAGCAAAGCCTTGTGGATCCATCCTTCTTCTTCATAAATATAGTACATGATGCTCAAGGACTAGTTCTCGGTTCTTTCACTCCTTGTTTCTTCATGGCTTCTATCTCTTTCAAAACCTTGACCTGTTTGGAAAGTGAGAGTTGTCTGGCTAACTGACGTATTGAGGTTTCATCAGTATCAACATTTTGATAAATTTTACATGTTTGGCCTAATTTATAAAATCCACTGAAAAAAGTGTCTTGATATTTCATGAGCAAGATATGTAATCAATAGCACTGAGTAGTGGTAAGCTGTTCTTATGTAAGGGTTTGACATCAGACTTTCTAAATCTTTCCTCAAAGATGACTACTGCTGATATTCTTTGATGTAGAAGTACTACCAGTAAACCTTCACATCTTGTAATGTTCCATCCAGATTTGGCTCAAATTTTATGGTTTGTTGTGTTCATAGACCTAATGATAACATTTTTATTCTTCAAATCCACGAGATTTCTACCAACCATTAATCCATCAAGACGTGTTTGAGTGTTTGGTTCTATTACAACCTGGTCACTAGATGCAAGATTATTTTTTTAATAAATCCTGGTATGAGTATTCTCTTCCTAGTGGTACAATGACTGCTCTCCTTTTTGTCATGGGAAGTTTAACTTGTGGTGAAGTAACAGCCATGCAATACACAGGAATTTCCTGATCACAGACTGTGAAGCTATATGAAGCTAGGCTAACTTTGCATTAACCCAGTTTCCAATACGCACTCTTCCTCAATGTCAATTATCCACATATCATGAAGCATAGTGAAGTTTTATACAGTAAGGGTAACTTTCAATCCTCCTCTTGCTAGAAAGTTATGTCCACTTGCTATTTGCATCACTCCTTCTTTCTTCATATCTGGAACTTCTCATCTTTCATTACCAAATCAGGTTGAACTATTGCAGGCTGTAGAACTGTTGTTGAACAACATACTACAAGGCTTCCTATCAATAAACCCATGGTCTCATAAAGTGGTTTCTTTAAATAATGAACTTTTTTATCTCACTTGAAGCAGGTAAGGGTGTTTTCTGCCAAGTTTTGCCCCATATATCCAGATAATTCCTGTTTCCCAATGTATCCTTAGTTCTTTGTTCCTTTGATTTAGTTGGGCTTGAAGAATCATCACTGGGGTATTGTTTTCTTGTTGTCTTAATAGCATTGATTCCTCACAGACTCAGCTGTAATGGTCAAGTTTCCCACATTTATAATAATTCCCTCTTTCTGGTATCTTTTGGGAACTGTTATTCCCTACAAGCCTTTGTCTGCAGTTCTTGGCAATAAGTTTTTTCAAAATACATTTCAAACACTTACTATCTTATGGTATATTTCTTCCATCCTGTGTAACTAGATGTCTAACTAATCCTTTTAGTACTTCTTGACCATCATCAGTATGAATAAAGTTTCAATATTACTTGATCTGATGATCCCATAACTCTGAGATGGTGTCTTTAGTTGTTAATCTGTGACCTTAATGGATTCTATTTCCATTGCCAACTGCAGAGCTTCCTTTAAGGATGTATACCTACTTCAGTTCAGACTATTTCTCATATTTTTGTCTGTTATGATGCCTATAAAGTGATCAAATGCCAACAAATATATCATTTCATGATAAACATCCAAGTAAGATAACTGGACAAGCCATTCAAATCTTTCAAAAGTTTGGCTGAGGTATCTTCTTTCCTCCATTCTCTGTCCAGAACCTTTAATGTTAATGTTGTCAAAGCTAGTAAATTTAAATGGGCAGCAAGATAAATAGTTTATTTTTCATTATTCTACCCATTCACTATGGAATTGGTTTCGAACAGACCCTGGTATGTCTTCTATGATACATTCCTATCATAGTTCACTGGTTTCTCAATTGGCAGATAATGAATTTGGCCACCTAAATTCTGGAACCCAATTGGCAGTGTCATAGCTGGAGTAGTTCAAGAATGTCTTTCATTAACAGATGGCAAAGCAGTAGTGGTAATAGGTGTAGACCAACAAGTTCTTCTATTCCATATTTTATAGTGTTTTAGGTTAGAACTCTTGAGCTGATACAGAAAGAGGAGTAACTAGTTTAATCTTTGAATTCATAACTCATTTTCCAGTGTTTTATTCTGCCACTGATGCACCTTTCTACCTCACAGATGTCTTTCTTTACTTCATTCACGTCTTTTTTGTACTTTGTTTTTGTCTTTATCTATGTTCTCTTGTACTTCTTCAATCTTTTCATTACAGCCTTTCCATGCGTCTTTAATGTTATTGTTGTAATCTCTCTCCATGCATTTCCAATAGCTTCATAATCTTTGTCTTCAATCAGTTTATTTAATTTTTCTTAAAATAGTAGGTCTCTTACATTACTTCTCCCTTAAATTCCTATCACATTCTTCTAATTTTCTATCTCATTTTTCTTATGAATAAAAACACGAACATAATTACACGACGTATTTATTAAATGCAGAATCATTATAATTCCATCATCAGTAATCTAGAGGTACAACAAAACAGAAAATATTTGTAATTAAAACAGAAATAAACCAAACATCACCTTAAAGTATGAGCATGTGAACACTTGGGCATATCTATAAAAACTGGAAGAAAGGTTACAAACCCTACCAACTCCACTATCTATCAACACAATACAGAAACAGGACATCCAATTTCT